GACTTGACGTCATTACGTCAGTGATAATCCATGACGCTAGCGACCGAGAAGAGAGGATTTGCTGGCAGGCGTAACGTGAGGCAAAGAAACAATAATTTCAGTGAATCTGGGGTAATTGTGGTGAGGCAGTTATTTCTTACGTCTGGAAACATTCCACTAGTCAGTCTTAGAGGAGACCCTATGTTGCAGGTGCCACAGGTGGGTGTTTGCACCAGATATTCAAGAATACATGCATGCAGAAAAATGAAATGGTCAGCATCATATAACTACATTCATGATGTTCAAACCCCCGTTAGGGAAGCCAATGTTTGTAAGATCTCATTGTGACAGAGTTGCATCAGCCAGGTGCAATTCGGAAAGTATTCAAAAACAGTTAATAAGTATTGCTCCTATTCATTTGTTTCATATTTAAGAAACACGTAACAAGAGATGTAAATTTAAATTGAGCATCAAGGGATGTAATTTTGCATTGTATAACCACCTCAGTCCTCCCAACTATGAGACAGAAAAGTGGGATTAAGTTTAGCCTTTTCCCTGCTCAGCCCCTCAACCTATTTTTGAAATATTTTGTCATCGAGCAACACCTTGCTGGACCTTGCAGCTCAAGGTTGACAGGGGTCTTAGATAAAATTCGGGTCCTTGCTGCTTACATTGGCACCACTCCAGACTATCATTTTTTTGCTGGCTCTCAGCTTAATACTGAGCTTTATCTTGGTCTTTGCTAGACAACTACATGTTTCAGTGTTTATCTTGGTTCTTGTTGGATCTCATATCATAATATTGAGTTGGATCTTGGTTCTTGCTGAACACCCACACACCCACACACCCACACCCATACCCACACCCACACCCACACCCACACCCACACGAGATATAAACAACCGCGAATCATGGTCACCGACTTCTTCGCCTTGTAGTAGTTTGCATCACCCACCATAGGTGCCTGTCGCCGCCCCTGATAAGCACGTGCCGGACTTTCTTGAGTAAGACCAATGAACTAGACTTCATCCAGCAAGTGTCTGGCTAATCAAGAGTTTAGTCACGACGTCGGTAAGATTCCTGACGCTACGGGCGTTGGCTGTTCCATAGGACGCGATGTCGCTTGAAACAATGGCAGCGGTAGGTAAGTGTTAGATGCAGCCAATCGTCGACGCCTTACTTATCTTAAAAAGCACAAATTAGAACCGAAAATACTTGCTAATATCGTCGCATAACACAAATTCTCCGATGTTGCTGAAAACTTTGTAAACTGACACATTGAGACTCACCAATCTTGTGCCAATTTCAGTATGAGGTAAGTGTGGCTGCGAAGATTCGTCATGGCAATGACCGTGTGTGAAATACGTCCAAACAGGGCAAGAGGATGTGCCCAACATCGCAACCGCTCACTGTCAGGAAACCATGCTGAGTTTGATTAAAGGCGCTTCTTACTACAAGGGCTGCGAAATATCAGACACTCTTTCGACTCTGACACAGCTCTGCAGATTTTGCTTATCATTAGTAACTTCTTGGGCCTGGTTACACCTCAAGGTTGTGTGTTTGAAAATCTGAGCTGGACCAAAATCTTAGTTCAGGAACAGCTAACGTATCTGATGTTTCTGATGTTTTAAAGTTGTCACGCGGTACTTGTTGGTGAAAACGGCATGTGGGTCTGACCGATGTGGGTCTGGCCGGTCTGACACATGAGATCAAAATGATGACGGGGTTAAATACGGGGTTACATATGATTTCTACATGTTTTAATTTCATCAAACATAGCTAACCAATCTTCGTCCTTTTATAATATCTCGACTTGCCATATATTTGATGGTTGATACAAAGACTCGCAAAATGAGCCAACAACTGTCATTCGAAGCAGCGTCTAGGACGTTTCGAAAATTACGGGATTATGATATGGCCAGAGCAACAGAACACCGGGTACTCTAAAGTTTTGACTAGTAGGTATCGACACATACTATAAGTATACCAGAATCGGGATTAATACCAGGTTTAGTATGTTGTACCAAAAGATGGCTGTGCTGCGCTTGTGGCATCTTTGGTTTGTTTGTGGCGATTAAGTGTAATCACGTTTTTCAGCCGTGAAACGCTTGAAGTGCGGTGGGGTACTGCAGATGGTGTTTGGGGGATCAGATTGGGTTCAAATAAGTTCAGATGCCTCTAGGTTAATCTGATGTGTGTTGTTCTTTTCCAAATCGCATTGTTTCTCTTTTTACATATCCTGGCCCATTTCAAACATTCTACATCAAAACTAATCATGTCATGATCCAGTTACTGCACAGTGGGTCAGCTATGAACAATGTGACATAGGCTACCGGCTGTGGAGTGCTGCATGCGAAGTGACTGGTCAAAGTGTTCTCAGGTGTATTTATGTTGAACCTGAGGATCTTGTCAGTTTTAAATATATGAATACCGGGGTTGTCTGATCGGCATTTGAACACAGAGCATATGCAATGATGACATTTATCCACAGAGGTGGACAAATAACATGAAAACCCATAACATCGGCCAACCAGCAATTATTGCAATTCAGCACAGCTGTGTCACTGCATTAGATGCACTTATTAAGAAGTCAATGTCACTTGAAGATGATGGAAATGTTTGGTATGATGCAATGTTCTGCACACACCTATTATAACATTAAACAAAGCCTGTGGTATTTAGAGTAGGTCATCTGATGTCAACAATTGGATGGTTTTTCTGCATAACTCAGTGTATGTGAAATTGTAAGGTTATGTTTTTCCAGAGTAGAAGAATCAGCATGTGTTAATGATAAGTGGACTGTGCTGAGGATGGTACCACCTCACCTCCACCTAATGTGTATTTCTCATTGGGCCCTGACACTTCATTTTGAAAAAATGCTATTTTCATCTTGCAGTTTTGTCTTTCGTGCGATAGCCCAGCCGATGTCATTAAATAATGCCCAAAGTGGGTGATTGTGGTACAACAGTCACCTTTACCATAGTCTTTTTCACCTTTACCATACCACCCTTACCAGTCACCTTTACCATAGTCTCTCTTACCATAGCCTTTTTGTAATATTTGGCAACAACATGAGAAAAGCACCCAACATTTGCTATTGCATTTCAATATTGTTGAGGGAGGCCACCATCACAAAATGCAATTGTGTCATGCAACTGCATGCAGCCTAAGACCTGGTATTGAACTTAGTAAATGAAAAAACTGTGCCTGGCAAATGTATCCAATGCAAGCAACAATGTTGTAGTTTATGGGTGCAATGCTTTGTGTTGAACCTACAATTTACAGTTGGTCAGCAGGACAAAGCCTCTTTTTGATTTATGCTAAATCTTGTGCTGAAATAATGGGATCATTTAGGATATAGGGCTAACAACTTTGTTGTGTCATTATAGAATGGTTGCTTGCGCAAGGGAGGATTTGAGAATTGCAACATTTGTAGAAATTGAAGTTTTATGTCAAATATTGCAATATTCTGGATGTGTAGCTGTAACCCAATCCTCAGCATTGTACCTATTACACAACATCATTGCATAATTTATATCAACCCAATTTCCTTGTAACAATATAAGTAAATGTTGAGTGCAAGATGGTAAATAAATATTATATCAACACTGCATGTTGCATTTGAATAAGAATGTACATAGCTTGGGCATGGTTTGGGGGAATCTAAGGTCCATTCAGTGTCATTATTGCCTTGGGCCAATGCTGGATATGTTTCTGATAATGATGCATCTTCTAAGTGTGTCCAAGCTGCCCATTCCACGCCAGCTGCTTTGGTGTACTTTTTCTACCCTGGGATCAGTGGATGGCAGTTTAAGTTATAAATTCCAAAGCTTGGTGAGGAAAAAAAATGTGTCATCATATTAAAGCTCCAAATGTTTATCGTACACGTTTTGTGGCATGAAAGCTAGCTTTTCAGGTTCAGTTACTCGGTGTAGCCATTGATGGGATGTCTGTATTATCCTTATACCAGAAGACCTTTCTGCATACAATTTTTGGGAGCATGGTTACTTAGGCCATAGGTCTGTGAGGTGTTCAAACTCTTCAGGATCAATCAGAGAAGTGTTTCAATATCCTACACATCAGGTTCACTGTGCCCCCCCCCCCCCCCCGTCAGGTCACTTTTCGTTAAAATGTTTACCATCCTGCTTTCAAGCACAACTGCTTTAAGCACAACAACAACTGCTTTCCAACCAGAGATGCTTACAATGCTACTGTGCCATCGTTGCTGTGCTGGTTCTGAGGCGGCAATGCCGGCCCTGCACAGCAGTGGCCGTCAGCATCACAACTTAAGCACCTAACACAGTGTTTGGTCCTACCTCTGGCCGCGTTGGGGACGGCCAGCTCTGGACCGCTACCGTCGCGATAGGTTCCATGCGTCAGGCACAGCAATGGTATAAACCACAGCCATAGGCTATTGCCTGTAGCCTGGTGGCTATATAACACTTGTGAAGTAGATATCATGGAAATAAAAAGACCTAAGGTGTATTTCTTGCACTACCTCGCGGCATGTTCCACACCGCAACAGCTGCATCTTCAGGTCACACATTATATATATATATATATATATATATATATATATATATATATATATATACAATCAGAATATCGTTCCACTCAACATCTCTATTGCCAGCCAGGGACCGCATTCACTCCGTGTTCCATCCCAACTCTGCTGCAAAGAGTTGGCGGCAACGGGGTTCGATCCCACACCTGGACATCGCGGCGCGCGCACGGGTCTACGCCTTGCCTGATAGCTCGAGAAGGAGTGCCACGGCACACACTTTTCATCCCGGAAATTGAACAAGAACTGTTCAAGCTTCATTTCTATGCGCTTTTTGTGCATATATGTGTTCAAGATTTAGAAAGCTGTGGGCCTGAAGAAGAGCATTTTAACATGGAAACGCTATGGCTAGTCGTAAAATGTGCGCCGTTGCTACCATATTTTATGATAGACTTTGTCCCCCCCCCCCCTCCGGATGTTGCCGTCAGAACTCTCGACATTACGAGAACGCTTTACCCACCTGTCCCGAGCGGTCCGCTTCCGCTGAAGTATTCGGGAGTTTTGCTCAGCTTTGTACAGCGTCCAGGCCGTGGCGATAAAAAAGATGATGTTTACTCCCGTGACGATGAAGATCGGTATGTAGAAGTAATATAGCTCTCCCTCCGGGGCTGAAAATAGAATATGCATGCTGCTATCATCAGAACACCATCATAGACCTATGGCTTACTTTCTCCTTCCACCACTTTTGCCTCCTCTTGAAAGCTTTAAAGAGAATGTTTTGCATGTGAAGATATTGGGCCAACCATCTTGTAAGATGAAACAAACTCACTCATGAATAATGGTATAACTCCAGGCAGAAAAGAATGCTCTAGGCGACACAATTTCCCTGTTTAGTAAATGTGCTCCTCGATAAGTCATTGTGTGATTACGTCATCGTACCTTGCACAACATTGATTGAAAGCCGGTTGACGGCCGTTATACCTGGAAATCATGCTCACGCACGCCAGACATGAACGAATCGACGGCTACATTTTTGGCCCTGATCACCGCATGGCTTATGGAATGACAGGATTTGAATGACGTTATTATGGCGTCATGAATGCCAAAGTAACTTCACGCAAATGATCAATTAATTTCAATCTGAAGATAATAAAACGTACGAAAATGAATAAAACGTTCAACTGGCAAGCAAAAAACTTGAGATAGTTGTCATGAATTGAAATTACTTGAAATCTTATCTAAAAACGTAAGAACACAATTTGCGTTTTGTCTGTATGCCACTAAATACCTAAATCCGGTTTGAACGATCTGTCTTTCGAAACCACAAATGCTAATCAATACCAAGTTTTTCCCCAAACCCCTCTGAATTTGGACCGAATTCCTGCGAAATTTCGCGGTATCTAATGAAAATTGCTTGCCTCATGGTGGGGGGAGGGGCATAGACGAGGTTCAATTGGCTATAAGCAAACAGGTTGCCTTATATCTGAACGGCTGGTTCGCTAGCTAATAGGGTCTCATGTGCACAAACTGCTCTCAGAGTGATGGAGTGAAACGCGGCATAGAGTGAGAACGAATACCATATATCTCGGCCGTTTTGTCACCGTTTTCCTCGCTGGCAATGACCTCAGACCGGCAAACGGGCACAGCCTACATAGAGTGGAAACAATTAATATCACGTTGGCAACGCTGGACAACAGGCGAGGACGCACCCATAATTTCGGAATGAGGGAGGGGACGAAAACCGGTGGGCGAAAAACGCCTACGCCATCTTAGCATACCCGAAGAGCCGCTCTTAAGCCGGCTTTGGGCATTTTTCCTATGATCCGGAAAGGACGGGACACTCCTTGGATCTAAGCTTGCACAACGAGGATGTTCTGCAGTGGAACAGTGCAGTACTCCGGTATTCTGTGGCCAAGCAGCCAACGCATGCCGCACATGATCATCTTTGCACAGGTCGCTGAAGTTCGGCATGCAGCGAAGTGCTTCTGCGCATCATAGTACGCACGCAAGCGGAGCAGCGGGTGAACGGTGAGTATTGTGAAGTCGATGTTTCCCTTCTGGTAGCGCACTCTGCCCAGCCATGGTCATGCCGGCTTTCGGCGGTGTATTCGACATTGCCTGCCGCATCGCTCCGGCTACTCTGTGCCACATGTCAGTTCTCACGTCTCCGCTCTATACAGTTTTATGGAGCGCCGTAAGGGACATGTCGACAAGATTCCGCTCCAGCAAGTTTGGGTTCGGTAGAGACCCGTGGATGCCGGGTCGAAGTGGACCGGAGTATTGCAGTACTGTGGCCATGTCGGTTATGCGTTCGGCAATGGGTCGGAGCACAACTCTTGCTGACCCACTCGCGGCATTTGTCCTTTTTGAACGATCCTCGGTGCCTCCATCAGTACACGAGACTGGTTTGCGATATACTAGCAATGAGGTGAACATTCTGCCCTTTTGCTGCTGGGCTCATCACGCTGCGTTTGGTGTCCGTCTGTGAGCGAACGAACGAATGGCGCCTGAACAAAATATATTTGACCTTATCACTATGCACCACGTTTCCTGGCCCCAATGTCAGTCGTTTAAGATAGCATAAACCAGCACACCCTCTCTTCTTAATGTTTTCTGAAGGGTGACTCGTTTCTGATTTTTACTGTGGAAAGGCCATTCCAATGTTTCAGAGTTTGTGGATGCTCGGCATTAACAGATAAACGCTTGCCTCAGTTTTCAAGCGGTGAGATACGCCCAGGAGAGCTACAAGATGATCCCCCATGTATTACTATTAATTGCATTGCATCCCAACTATTAATCAGAAATGATGTTCTATTTTATGAATACGCCACTCGCCGCGACTTTTTCTCGTTGACCCCCCTTTGCGGATCCAAGAACATGTGGTGTTCAGGCGATGCCATCAGTCCCGGCCACTGCCCTCTTAATCACCACCGGCGCTAGTGCACCCTAGCATTCTCTCTTTGGCCTCCATAGGCGGGGTTGGCACACATCCCACGTATTTTCAAACAGCAGAAAGTCGTTTTCCATCAAGGACAAAATTTGCAATAATCACGAAACTTAAACAGTTTCACTGCACACGATTCAATGTGGAAACTTTGAATCATGCTTAAGATAGGAGCACAAGCGACATTTTCTTCGGTCATCAGTGGGAATTCGGGTGAGCGCGTAATCCGAAACAGAATACTGCTTTAAACAATGCCTGTTCGAAATTACGTTGATTGCAGCGGGGATATGAACGCTTCGTTGGTTGCCGATTTGCCCAAGAAAGTAGCAAGGACCTGGTTGACGTAGCTGGTTGATACTACATAAGGCTATCAAAGAAGTGAAACCATGGGAGCTGGGGGGTGGTTAGAACTGGTATGCGTGCAGGTACGTACTTTCTTCCATCTACATCCATGACAAAATATCTACAATCCCTTCAAATATTTCACAAACGGCCATCGGTAGGGCGAGCACCCCCTGCCCCCCCCCCCCCCCCCACGTCAGTGCCATGGTTAGCAGAGCGGCAGTAGTAGCGGTTTAACATCCGCCCCACCAACTGTACTCGTTACACAGTCCAGACCCTGTCATCAAAAGGTTTATTAAATCGTGCCGTGGCATTCCCTGCTATAAGCCGGCACCAACGCGCGGCCACCGCGCGGCTCTGGTAGCCGGCACCACTGTGCGGCTTCTGTTATGACATCAGCATTGCCGCGGACCGGCTCCCGTGTTGCGGCAGGGGGATGATGGGTATTCCCTGTGTCAGCAAATGACGCGCCTGCGCCGGCACGAGATTGGTTTAGCCCAGCAATCACGCGACACCCGGTACCTGGAGCCCTGGATGGCGTGTCCGGTCCACAGGGGCCCAGATCACCCCGACGTCCGGGTTGCAGTGCTGACAGCGGCGATGTTTTCAATCCTGCCTGTTCCAAGAGCCGCGGTCTGACCCCGGACACTGCGAGCCAGACACTATGCCCTCAGCAGGCTGAATGAAAAGTCACAGGCTGAGTTTCAGCGAACGGAGCAATGCGGATGTCGTCCAGAGCCGCCATCCGCCACCGCCGTGGTGACGGGTGCAGGCTTTCCACAGGAAGACCGGCTGATAGTGGCTGCACCGCTTCCGCGCGGGGAACGGCTGATAGTGACTGCGCCACCACTGACGGAGATGGGACCGGCGCCTTCGCTGTGGCTTATGCAAGGCATCTGTTGGGCTTATATGCACCGCCGACATGACTGCGAGAAATACCCAAATGGCCAGGCTTTGCCGAGGTTGGAATTTCGTGATCGCTTCTCCGTGAGCTATTTCATTGCCCGCCTACATCAGGCGCTGGCATTCTCGTCTTTTTGGAATTGATAGACGCACTGGCACATACAACATGCGGTACGACATAAACAATTACGTACGTGTCGTCAACGAATCTGTGAATCCGAGAAGCGAGCAAGACTCGGACCAAACGCTAGGCATTGCGTGGCCTACAGTGCTTTGAAGGGATTTCTGATCGCAAACCCTCCAGCCTTGGGCTGAAGTGATCCACGTCCGTCGAGCCCACTGGGGAGAGAGTTTTGAGCTGATGCAGAGGTCGATCTCCATGTACAGACGCAGCAGTGAAGTCTGACACGTACTGGGCGCTGGGCAATGGTACCTGACTCCTGCTGGCAACAAGGCCATGAAATCCGGTACTTACTGGAGAGGAAGCATTGCCGCTCGCCGATGCCGGGCCGCACGATGGTGCCGTCAGGGATGACCGAGGTGGGCGCGTAGTTGAAGAACGCCAGCAGGCCGGTCATCACCAGCGGCACGCCCCACGCGTACAGCGAGTGTCGGATGAACCGGTGTCGCAGCGACCGCTCGGACGGCGGCTGCGTGCGCAGGTGTCTGAAAACAAGGGGCCTGCTGCGGAATGTAACAGCAACATCGGTCGGCTGCGGAAGCGATACATGCGGAACAACCAATGCTGTGCATGCGGAACAACCAATACTGTACATGCGGAGCAGGGACGAGAGCGGGCCAATGGCAAGCCAGGCACTGACGGGGCGAGATGTTAACGGCAGCAACGGAGATAACTTAGAAAGGAAGATAAATTTGTGTGGGATGTAGCAGCATATGGATTAACTCCAAACGTTCATCATATTAAGGCACACCTGAGGTAACATGAAATCAATGATCTTCTAGTAATGTCATTTAATGTTTGAGGGGATCGGAGAGAACTTGGGTTTGTAAAAGGACATTCAGATAAAGCCTACCAGCCTTGCCAAAAAGTTCGATCCACAGTATTGTGCTGGCTCTCACACTGAAAGCAAATAGTACATCATGGTTCCAAATTGTGCAGGATTTCACGCTTTGATAGCCAAAAGCATCTTATGGAACCCAAACAAATGTGTTTCCCACTTCCACGCGCCGTGCCCCTAGCGAGGCGCACCAGCGCACATCATTGTGTCTTTTGTTTTGCTCGTCCTGTTTATGCCAAAAGTAGGATAGCTGCATCTCAGTCACTTTCCTGCGGGGGTGAGTAGATAATGATCCTCTTCTCCCCCCCCCCCCCCACATCTTTTCCGATAGTCATTTGCTCCAAACGATTGGCCACAAGTCCCACCAATTTGATTATTTTTATTGAAAACGCTTGTTTACATGTCGTGGCAACAGTTTTGAAGCCAGATCCGACCTAAGGTGGATCCAAGGCTTGATATTGGAAGGTCATACGCTGAAGGTCGCCGTCTTCGGGTTGAGTACCACAACTACGCGATGCTTACCATTTTTTCAGCTCCTCACGGGTTAATGGTCGTTCCAATAAAACATATAAGTACAAAGTTTGCTAACGTGCATCAGATATAAGACTTGACAGACGATTTCTGAGCAGGAAAAAAAAACGTATCGTAAAATAGTGGCAGGATGATGGCAGTGATGCAAGCGGCCGTGAAATGTCGTGTCCTTTACAGCACAATGTGTCCTTTGCCTTTATGCTTCTACGCCTCAGAGAAGTACCCCCAGAGAAGTAGGCGAACCCAGGTAGGACAGATGGGATGCGACAGGTACGAAAGCGGTTCGCCCTAACCTACAAGTGATTGGCCATTGTCCCATTAGATCATTTTATGTGCTTGTAGTAAAGCAGGTAAGTGAAGTATGCATACGCAATGTTTTAAATTGGTATGCAGGGGCAGTTCAACGGCAGGGAAGAAGAGACTGAGGACGTGACGAAACGGGAAGTAGAAATTCGGTGAACCTATCTTACTAAAACTCTTAAGTCTTATTATTTATCTGAATCCTTATCCTATTCCCTTAATCCTATCTTATCCCTTCTTATTATTACCCTGGACTCACCTCTGCCATTTCCTTTAAACACCTAGGCAAGTCTCTGATGTATGAGTTTAAACGAGAATAGGAGCGTGCATTGTTCTCTTTTGTGCCACTGTAAGATCATCCCAAAATGTTGGTTCGTTTGTGTTACTACCTTACTGGGAAATGCTTTGAAGAGGCAACCGTCGAAATGATTCATGTCCATATTTAAAGATGTGATGAAATAATACTTAACAGATATTCTGCGGCCACGCCATTATAGTAAGAAAGCAAAGTGAAAACATTAAAATCCCCTTTTCAGTAACGCTCCCAGCTTGCACTGCGTCCGTACGACTATGATTTTTAAGTTTTCAAACTGCTCACATGTTCCAGAGTCGTACAGTACTCCTAAAACCACGTTTAGCCGCACCAAAATCGGATAACACACACAGTACAGTCTCATCACAAATGTTCCGGAACTTTGAATAATTTTCTTCCATGTTATCACCCTTCCAGAATATTTAGTACTTTAAAGAAAGCCTACGTTGTGACTGGTAACTGCCGTTTACCGGCTCAAAATCGGAGCAGTGATTCTCGTGACACGTTGGTGGGGGGGGGGGGGGGGGGGGGGGGGCAGCTAAATATTCCACTAGCACACGCTGCCGCACAGTATAACACCGCGCAGAGAACATGGCTAAATCGCATCTTCCTCCCACCATTGCCGTCCTAAAAGTCATACTTCGCGAGTAGCTAAGAAATGTTGCGCATGGTGAGCGTTTGTATGCATCATTGCCCGGCGCAATCCACCATAAATGCTGTAGAAGCAAGCCCAGTTTGCCAAGACAATTTGTCATGGCCCCCCATACCCCCTGTAGCCGAGCTACTTTTGGGGATCTTTCAAAAATATTCTCTGGTTAAATTCTCTTTTCTCTTTTTTCTTTTTCTCTATTCTTTTTTCTCTGGGGGAGGATTATGAAACCAGGGTGTAGTACTTTTCTATGTACTTTTCTATACGATGTACTTTTCATTCATTGTTAGATTAGGCGCCTATGATTTGATCGCTAGTACCAGTATGTCCCAAATTCCTTCCGGGTAGCCCAGAGTTTCGATTTGAAGTAGACGCTATCATGGGGGACATATTACTGGCCTCCCTGCTAACCACTATGAAAGTAATATTTCCATTAACGCACTGGCTAAAACTTCATGCGAGTAATTGAACCATTCATGTGCCACTTTTAAGGCTGAAACCCCGAGATGCGCGGATAAAAAGAGCTTAGCAGTGATGCCTACACCATGTAATAGCCGGCGACTGCAAACAGCAGATTCAGATGTCGTTACTTGTTACGGACTGTTTTAACTCTTCTTGCCCGCGCTCTGTGGGTCTGTGGGGTTAACTGGCTATTATCATGCCAGCTTTCATGGCATTGTTAAACTAAATCGAAGTTAGATTACCGTGCACAGTCTCCAAGGCAACGTTGCATATCGCACTTCCGTATTTCCCATGCGCCAAGATCATTCGGGCCAAAAATGAACTCTGAAGTTAACAAGAAAGTAAGAGTTCAGTGCCGCGACAACACTGCTATTTGGACACTAAAATATAAACAATTATTTGTTTTCATACATAGGTGCTGTATCGGCATTCTTCGGCGTTATCATTAGACATCACTGGTCTAAAGGTTTAACCAGAGGAATAGTTTTGAAAGATCCCCAAAAGTAGGGCGGCTACAGGGGGTATGGGGGCCATGACCCCCTGGGACCACAAAGGGGCACATAAGCTCCAAAGGCGTCAAAAGCCCGCCGAACAGACGCAGTTTTTTTTAGCACAAAACGCAACAAAATCGGAAGTCTTTGGGCTTCCAGACGACCAAGCACAATTGCACGTGAGAGTTAAGGGCCCACGAGCCAACAAAAAAAAATCAATGGTTGAGAGGATGGTGATTGAAAGATACCTGGGCTCATCGTGTTGTCCAGAAGCCCTACGCCGTCCCTGGAGGCCCTATGTGTCCATATGCAGGGCAAATCCGATCGCTAAGGAGCCTTCCACGTTGCCCTTGTTTTTTTACATTTGTTCGGAGGGTCCCGCACTGTTGTCAGGGCCCTTTCTGCGCGCATGCCGGCGCATTCTTGTCGATCGGGGCCTTCCACGGATTTTTTCCCATTCACCCGAAGGGCTCTGTACGATATAGCCGGGGCCCTAAACGTTCAACTGCTGGGACATTCTAAGTTCCTTAGGAGCCCTTCACGTTGGTTTCGGTAAACCCGTCGGCACAGTTGCGATATGGTCACGGGTCGTCCACCACAGGTCTGGGCGCCTTTCCAATTCCTGTCACATCCGGAGGACTCTACGCTCTTGTCCGGGGTCCCACCTCTTAACCTGCTCGGGCGCACTCGATCGTTTGCGGGCCTTCTTCATTGGGTCTTGGACATTTCTTATTTCAATGGACGGCCCTACGCTCTTGTAGGGGGGGGGGGCACCCGTTAACCTGCTGGCGTACATTTGATTGTTCGGCGGCTCTACACATTGTGTATTGGGCACTTCCTATTTGTATGTAGGGTCCAATCATAGTAGAGTCCCATCATCTGCTAATGTGCATAGACACTTTAGATCGACCAAGGGTCCCCTACAAACGCTTCACATTGGTCAGAGAGGCTCTTTACGCTATTTCCGGGGCCCCCATATGCCGGGGTACACTCGGTTGCTCAGGGGTCCAGTTGCTGGGGCCAATACATGGCAACGCACCGATGCTCTAGGGCCCTCTACGTTGATCTAGGGCATTTTCCCTTTGAAATGATTTGAGGAGTACCATTTTTTCTTGTCAGGGTTCTTTCCATTAACCTGCCCGGACACTCTTAATCGTATCGTAATTTACACACAATGATCTTAAGCTATTCCCATTTGCTCAAAGGGTCCTGCGGTCTGGCCCAAGCCCTATATGTTAGCCTGATGGGGTACTTTCGATCGTTCAGGGGCCCTACCATATTGGTCTCAGGTTGTTTTCATCTGTCCTGAGGATCCCACACTGTACGTAGCACACCTAGTTTTCTATGGCTGCCCAGAATAAGATGGGTTTCTGTATGCAACATAGCACATACAGAAACCTTTTAAGTTAATGGCCGGAGTACGGGGATTTTGGGGGGTTCACGCATTGTTGTGGGGCTCGAAACTCGCCCCACAACAATGCGTGCCCCCATCCTGATGAAATCCTGGATCGTTCCCTGCTCAAAGGTGGCGCACTCCGTTTTAAGACGAAATCATTATGGAAACTCTTTGTACATCTTTGGTTTATAACTGATAGTCCTAGCAGCTATCCTAATCAAAATGCTACAAACATAATATTTCCGAGCAAATGACACCGATATAAGTCAAAGTTGTAGACCACTGCGGATATATGTGACCAAATCAGTAGTCAGTCAGCCAGTGATTCTTATGATATGCCGCAAACTGAAAGTCGGTGATCTAGAATTGCTTTTGAGCTAGTTCGGGAAGTGAACAACTTGGCCGCAAAAACACCGCACAGGAGCGAAAAAAAATCACTTCACACAAGCAGGAATGGCAACCCAGGGAGATATGAATCGGCTAGCAAAAACATACATTCTAATCTGGCATGGAATTAATCGCACAACTATGACACAAATGGTATTTCTCACATTTCGGTCAGTATAAGGTCATTTTGGAAAATGTCCCGAATTTTGTCGCTCAGGAGCACATTGTCTGCACATGCAGCACAGCGAACCTCAGCGCATAAATGCACTAACCAAAGAGCTATTTTTACTTCTACGGGTAGTGAAACAATATCAAGAAATATAGGATGTCTGCATTTCGGCGAAATAAAAAGGAATCATTGCTCTACGAATAAATTGTGACAAAGATCACAAATTTATTACTAAATTAGCCAATATATGGCACTTGTTTGCTACTTTCACACCATGTCTGGATTATGGACATTGAAAACTCTTTGGTCCAAAACCACAATATCGCTACCCCAGCAACGAATGCATCTACCGGAATCGAATTACTTAAGCCTTGGTATTTTACTATTTACTTCTGAGGGGTGCTGCCAAGTTTATGAAACCGCTGAAGGAAATTGGTAGCTACGCTGAAATTACCTTTGCCATCCTGGAGTAAGAAGCAACTCCCCTCCATGGACCTGGTCACAGTGAGTAAGAATAATAGTGGCGAAGACACAGTTAATGCCGGTCTGAGAGAATGCAAGGAAATGAGTATGGTTCTGGATCATATTTCGGATATTTCTACCCAGCTGGGTATGGCAAGACGGTGATTTGTTCACCTAAGTCCATCCACAACCAACGGAGCGAGGAAGCGAGCGGTATATGCATCGAGGCGGAAAAGCGTAAGCCCCTATTCACATCTACACATGTTAATGTGGAATATCCGTTGCATGCATCCATACCTCGATGCCGTTGCCGGCATAATAAATATATTAACTAACTGGTAAATGCAACGTTCGTCTCAGGAAAGACGGTTTCCAACTCAACTTCTTCCTCGGCACTACAGTTCATTGCGAAAGCAAACAGGCAGTACAAAACTCCTACATAAGCGTATCATTTAAGGCCGTACGAAGCAGGAGCAGCGTAGGAAGCGATACAGATCACATGACGAGATAGCTTAACGCAAGCTTGTGTTGATATGTGTGGACTGATGTAGAGCTCTAGATCCGGCTGATCACGCCGCGGCGCTCTAGGCGCACCTGGAGAAGACGCTCTGCGGTGATGTCCTGCAGGACGGTGCAGGCCGCGACTACGTGGGGAACTGTCGATGCCAACGTGGACTTCCGTACGCAGGAAACGGAAGGTTGTTTCCTGGTTCCAAACGTCCTACCCTGACACGCGTCGCATGGTGGACCCCGTTAATCGATTCATTAAACGCAATTAATAAGTCAATTAATAAGGCCTTTCTGTTTGTATGCCAGTACGGTGGTATCAGCTACTTTTTACACGGCTATCCAGAGTCGCTGAGGAAGACGCTGGGCACGTCATCGTTTTGGAAAGTCATCTGCAGATACTTTTCCCTGCGACGAATCGGACACGGGCAATCCCTGACACCTGACCACGTTCAAAAGCTCGGTCCACAACGCTCTGTACATTGCTACCATGACTTAGTTTTATGCTGATGTCACCGGCTTCCGCACACTTTGATCGTTTCCATATGCAAATGTGCGTACCATTGATTAGTTCAAGCCGTTCCTGGGGGACCTCACTCCCGGGAGAATGCGTGTGTGCTGTCGGGAAACCTCCTCCGTACTGGGGAGGGGAGGGAGGGAGGGAGGGAGAGGAGGAGATAGAGAGAGAGAGAGAGAGAGAGAGAGAGAGAGAGAGAGAGAGAGAGAGAGAGGAGAGAGAGAGAGAGAGATCGAGAGAGAGAGAGAGAGAGAGAGAGAGATAGAGAGAGAGAGAGAAGAGAGAGAGATGAGAGAGAGAGAGAGAGAGAAGGAGAGGAGAGAGAGAGAGAGAGAGAGAGAGAGAGAGAGAGAGAGAGAGAGAGAGAGAGAGAGAGAGAGAGAGAGAGAGAGAGAGAGAGAGAGAGAGAGAGAGAGAGAGAGAGAGAGAGAGAGAGAGAGAGAGAGAGAGAGAGAGAGAGAGAGAGAGAGAGAGAGAGAGAGAGAGAGAGAGAGAGAGAGAGAGAGAGAGAGAGAGAGAGAGAGAGAGAGAGAGAGATAGAAGAGAGAGGAGAGAGAGAGAGAGAGAGAGAGAGAGAGAGAGAGAGAGAGAGAGAGAGAGAGAGAGGAGAGAGAGAGAGAGAGAGAGGAGAGAGAGAGAGAGAGAGAGAGAGAGAGAGAGAGAGAGAGAGAGAGAGAGAGAGAGAGAGAGAGAGAGAGAGGAGAGAGAGAGAGAGAGAGAGAGAGAGAGAGAGAGAGAGAGAGAGAGAGAGAGAGAGAGAGAGAGAGAGAGAGAGAGAGAGAAGGAGAGAGAGAGAGAGAGAGGAGAGGAGAGGAAGAGAGAGGAGAGAGAGAGAGAGGAGAAGGAGAGAGAGGAGGAGAGAGACGAGAGAGAGGGGTAACAGAGTAGACAGAGAGAGAGGGCAGATAGAGAGAGAGGGCATGAACGTCTCGCACTGATTCTGGGGTAACAGTCGCTCAGAAAACAGATCAGAATACCGCCGGCTGAGCCTCCCCCAAACAACTGTCAACAACATCCGACTTGCTGTTAGGTACCGCAGAGCACAAATATTTTATATGGTGCCAGGGGCCTTGATGTAGTATTGACTTATTGGGGTGCGCCCAGTCACGACCTAATATCGATCTGTTGTGAAATTAAGATTGCGGAACCAAAAGGGTGTATGATGTCCAGACAACTCTCCCGCATTACTGCTAGAGGATTTACACGATGTTTTATCGGAATCAATAATCCGCATTTTTTTCAGTAGATGAACACAACATTGGGATAAACATAACTGCTTAGCACAAAGCAATATAATCCGACAAAGCAATCAAAGCGCACTAGACCAAGCAATCAAAGCACACTAATCGAACGCTTTCAAAGAACTGACATCTGCTTTGCGCGAGAAACGCTAGGTAAAGCTCAGAGGATCATGCAACACAGATCCCATGGGAAGCACTTTTTGCTCAGTTATGAAAATGCGTTATTTGTTCATACCCAGGTCAGCGTATATTGTGCCATACCATTAGTGAAGCCTCCGATTTTCCTGTCAAGGAAAGGTTCCGCTAATGCTTTTTCCAGAAAGGCCGGTGGACATTGTCGCAGCTACGAAAAGTGGCCTCGAGCAACGTGTTTTATGTACGTAGGCGAGCAAGGGGTGTCAGCTGATGTTTACGAAAATGTGCGTAGAAAATGTCTAGCGGATGCAGGCTTACCTTCGCAATGTCTGGGCCGTGACTCATAGCGGTTTTGAGCACGCTAAGCACGCTTGACGATGGATGAATTCTATCTCAGAAACAATGTTAAAGCCGTCTACTTAATCTGCACCTCATGAAATGGGAGCTTTGATGCGCACCATTTGACTGAAACTGATTTAATTTATCCCTGATTGGAGAAAATACATATATACCCCTACACACAGGGCCAGAGCTTCGAACGCATCTTTGATTAGCAAGCACTGCCATCAAGAAATCCTCGGTCATCGAGAGGCGCACCATTATCCGAGTGTTGAGAGCGGGAGAACTTGGCAGGGACAAGTCGGCCGAGGGCCAGCTGGTCCGGATATTTATCTATAATCTGAACACGGCAGCCCAGACAATCCGGTCAGATATCGTCACACGGGAGAAATACTTACGCAAAGGTCCACCAGATGTCGAAGCTCATCACGTTCAGCCAGAAGAGGGCAGCGATGAACGAGTAGTACAGCAACATACCTGAGAACGTCGAAAAGCACTGTGAGCATGGCAACGGAAAGCACCAAGTTACAGGTCATGCAGTACCAAGCGTCGTATTCACCCAGCGATGCCAACGTGGGAACTTCCGAACACATTCAGGCAGGCTCTGCGCTGTTTGCATGTGGAGGCACTAAACAGGCTGCGCCTTACTACCTACTTACTGCGTCTCCACGCCGAACGTGAGGCAAAAAGATGCGCCAATAGCGCCGCCCGCCTCACCTAAGAATGAGAACTACAGGAAACGGTATGCTCTGAATGAGTGTGCGAGGTGATGACAGGGGCGGCACAGCGGTCATTAGGTTGACGCTAACACCCGCTTAATGCATCAAGGTTTCCAAACTATACTGATTTTGCTTCTCTTTTTTAGCAGGTTCGTGATTAGCAGATGAAGTAGGAGCCCGTATACAGTGAGCATTCGTGTGTTTAGCATAACCCATCCGTACTGCACCAGCAGGCACTGGTTTAACGACGTTGACAAGCAAACGGTTGATTTCGTTCAGGAAGGTTAACATTTAGAAGCTTCGCTCATGATCGCGATAGACCACTAATGACCATAAGTAGTGCGAAAATAGTGTCCATATTTTACCATGAGTGACGAGAGACGAGTGACAACGATAAGCCAAAGTGGCGAGTGGCGAGTGACAAGATCAATTGTTTGACATAAAGCTACCAGCTCGTAATGAAAAACCTGCGCTTGAGACCCCTCGTACTTAATCAAACATTTGGTTGTTAAAAATTGTATGCATGGAAGCATAATTTGCAATTATCAAGCACTTCTCACTACGTCCAGGGTTGAAAAACATGTGCGTATTTTTTAACAACAACTTTGATTATTTGTGTCACGTGATTTCTACATCTGACATACTATTGTCATAGTGACCAGATCGTGCAGACATAGGCCGCCAATGTTTTTATACCTTGAGAACTTACATCACACACGTTAAACAACGCTTGGTCCCACGCTATTTACCGTTTTACTTTTCTACATTGCATGGTCTACATCTATGCCGATGTGAAGCATCGTCTTTACAGAGATATATAAACTTGGAACACTCTCAATGCATGAATGCATACGATGAAATACGCAGCGTGGCGCTCACCTAAAGCTTCGCAGCTGTCGCCAAGCGGAATGCGAGCAAACTGGTTGTAGACGGTGAGGAAGAAGGCGACGAAGAGCGCGGCAGCGTGCGACATCAAGCACTTTCCGTGGATGTTCCTCAGATCAGGCACCAACATGTAAATTGCCAGCATGACGAACAGGCAGATCGCTGATAGGGTAAGGAGAACATTGTTCACGGCTGCCATGATCCCAGCTTCCTTGTCATATGGAAAACAACAAAAAGCGATTTCAGCGATGTCATTCCTCTGTGTCTTCAAGTTGTAGTAGGTCTCGTATTCCAGGCAACACTGGTGCGCCTCAAATGTGAGGTTAAGCCCTGTCACATGCAGCTTTCCGTTTGTCTGTACATACGGAGCGTCGAGCTCGCCCAATCTCTCGCTAAATATGAAGGTTTCGCCGTCCTCACAGTTGGTCTTCCCATACAAAACGGTATGAGCAACTTCACCAATGAACAGATCGTCTCCCTCATAGAACGTCGGCTCCCATTGCAGTTGTGTGGGGATGCACGTGGTGTTGAACAGATGAAAGCCTGCAGCACAGCATTTCTGGATGCAAACTTCACCTGGACACTGCGCTTCAAACTCTTCTGCGGTGCTTTCTTCTATCATGGGATGACACACGACAGCGATGGGCTGGGGTGATGATGTGGGACTTCGGAGGTCATCCAGACAGAACAAACCTGGTTTGATAGGCAAATTGTAGCTTTCCAGGAGCAGATAGCTGTTGGACTCCAAGAAGAATGCACCCTGCGAGGAACTCGATGTTAGATACTGACGGACGGTGTCATTGGGGCACTGAAAGCTAATTGGAGGCGAGCTGTCGGTCTTTTCGGCTGGCAGCTGAGCCAGCTGGGTCGGATAGCCATGAATCACCGCAGGCCGCCAGGGCGAGGAGTGCTTCACGCACAGGAAGCCCGAGCCCCCGCCACCCACATTCATGGCATGGCCGGGCGGACAACACTTGCGGACGGAAACATTTGTCACGTTGTCTAGGCTGGGCAGATCTGCCACCTGTGGCACTGATATCTTCACGCAGCTGCGCACAGACTCGTAAATCTGACCGCCCAGCTCCACGTTGTAGAAGCAGTAATTCATACCCAGCGCATAGGTCTTCTCAGCGGTTTGCACGTCTAGCTCTCCAGACGAACTTAACAGATACTTTGTGTTCGGTTCGAAGTGGTAACTGAATGTTTTCTGTTCGAAGCCAAATTCGCATTCCTGGATAAAACCTCCGACAATTTCGAGACTCGCATTCGTCGACTGATTAAGGAAGCTCGGCACCCAATCTGTCGGACTGGGCTTGCATTCTCGGCTTATTACATTTTCTCCTCTTGCACAGCAGGTGCGCACGCAGAATCCGGCTTCTGAACCTTGGCAGGCGGCGTAGCTGGTGTTGGTTGTGTCCTCGGAAGGCAGGGTACCACTCTGGGCGGAGGCTCGACCCAGCAGACACAAAGCGAGCGACAGTGCACATAGCCCCATCGCTCCCGACCGCTTCAGGCGCATCTTCGTCACTAGATCACACCACGTCTCTAAAAGTCACTGAGATACTGACTGAATCACCACCACACCTTCTACCACCGACGCAGCATGTTCAAAAGATGCCACTTCTCCTCGCAATGACCTGAGCGAAGAACAGCACTGATCGTCCACTCAGAGAACAACTCGCCGGGTCCGCCTTTTTCGCTAGAATGCCCCGGGTGTCCGCTTCGCGGCTGGGGCGTCCTCCTTCGGCACGTCAGCGCCACCCCGCCAGCCCGCGTCACTGGGCGATGTGAGGAAATCCTGACAGGTCGGTTCTGCGCCGGAGCCGGACGCTCCAGCCCCTGGTGGCGGCCGGCCGGAAGCTCGGCATGCCGGCCCGCCGACCTTGACGCACAATGATGCGGTGAACACTGTGGCAGGGACGGCACGAGGTCGGTGTTGCACCTCCAGTCAACGGAGTAACCACCGGCAGTGCTGGCACAAACAACTGCGCTTCAATCTGCGCAAGGATCTCGCTTATTACGGGAATTTTTCCACATTTGTATGGGGTTTTGGGGTGCATTGGGGCGACCAGACGACGTAATATCTATGCTGTCGACGTCACTCATGACGTCATACCCCACAGACTGAACTATTTGGTGTTTGCAGCGATCCGTACTACCAAGTTTGCATGTGACCTCGGGTAGAATTTCGCTGAAAGTGCAGAGTATTTCCCTATGCCCCAATCGAAGTAAGACTTCAATGGCGGAACAAGTTCCATTGTAAACAGGCCAATAAACGTGCCCAGAGCCGACCGCAAGTGATGAAAAGGTGTTTATGTTTCAAAGAGTAAAATTTGCAGTCAACATTCTCAGGAGCACTCAACGTACATGTCAATGCAAACATTGTATATCTGGATGCGCTTAAAAGCCCTCTGGTTTCTGAGCTTGACAACCGCGAACTGGCGCAGACAACTTCAAGGTCACTGTGCCATGCACAACGCCCTAGAATCGTCACGCAAATGTTGTCATTTAGGGGCGTCACTTTATGCATACGTATACAATATAATATAATATACATGATAAACATATATAATATGCATACACACAAGGTGATACATATCCTGTACACATGTTTTATGGCATATATATCCCGTAATGCTTATTTCAGCCTCCCCCCGAGTGGCACTCATGATAAACATATATAATATGCATATACACAAGGTGATACATATCCTGTAGCACATGTTTTATGGCATATATATCCCGTAATGCTTATCTCAGCCTCCACCCCGAGTGGCACTCATGATAAACATATATAATATGCATATACACAAGGTGATACATATCCTGTAGCACATGTTTTATGGCATATATATCCCGTAATGCTTATTTCAGCCTCCACCCCGAGTGGCACTCATGATAAACATATATAATATGCATATACACAAGGTGATACATATCCTGTAGCACATGTTTTATGGCATATATATATATATATATCTATATCTATATCTATATCTATATCTATATCTATATATATATATATATCCCGTAGTGCTTATTTCAGCCTCCACCCCGAGTGGCACTCATGATAAACATATATAATACGCATATACACAAGGTGATACATATCCTGTAGCACATGTTTTATGGCATATATATCCCGTAATGCGTATTTCAGCCTCCACCCCGAGTGGCACTCATGATAAACATATATAATATGCATATACACAAGGTGATACAAATCCTGTAGCACATGTTTTATGGCATATATATATATATATATATCCCGTAATGCTTATTTCAGCCTCCACCCCGAGTGGCACTCATGATAAACATATATAATATGCATATACACAAGGTGATACATATCCTGTAGCACATGTTTTATGGCATATATATATCTATATCCCGTAATGCTTATTTCAGCCTCCACCCCGGGTGGCACTCTGGGCCCGAGCGATGCATATGACCAAAGAGGGAATACTGAGTCAGCTACATACAGAACAACTTTCAAAACCATTGGTACACCAGGTAATAGGTACCTAAATACATCACGATTAGTACTTCATCGATTGTGTACCAAAAATTATCATGTGGGTGATTTATGCTTTCGTCATGCTGACTCCTTCGTATGATAGCGGGTCTGCAAATGTTTGACAAGTTTTTCGAGGGATGGCATCTGGATTGGGATATAGAACAATTCGCTGCTATGCGCGGCACTTTTAAAAGTAAAAGGGTAGTCAGATGACAATTAACGCATGTTTTCTTTTAACAGTAACAAGTGCATATGTCACGTAATCGTGGCTGTGGGGGTTATACAACACGATCAGCGGCAGCGGTGGTCATCTTTGATCCCTGACTAAGGCTAACTAAGAAACGTTTTTTCCTGTCAATTACACCTCACTGTAAGCTTTTGATAAAACGCCAGCTCACATTCACTTCAAAATAAAAGTTATTTCTCGGAAGGAAAATGATGTTGAAGCTACGAAATGTTACCAGGTTCTAACACACCGCCGGGTGGGGGGTCAAATTGTTCCCCCCCCCCAAGGCTTTTCCAGAATGGCTTCCGAACGGCGCGGCGCCAAATTTTGCATAGCTGTAGATAATTGAATAGCGGACCGTTTGGTGTCCAAAATTTAGGTGAACCTTGAAAGGTCGTTGACCTATAGCAGGTCAAAGTCAGGCCATGGTTTCGGCGAAGCTAGTTTCTTGGGAATCGTTCCATCTGATGCAACAACGGATGTTGCTATGTTTCGCCCCTACGCACGCCGTAACCGTTTAGCCTCACGTATTGCTACGGAGTGATTACATTGAAATTCACCAGCGCAGTTTATACATTTGTAGATCAGCGAACGGCATACAAGCCAGTAAATAAAAAAAAAACTCTAAAGAGAATGGTCCACATTTGAGGATATTGAAACATGCATCAGGTATGATGTTATAAGCTTACTTAAAACTATTTGCATGTTTTTAAGTTGAAAATACTGCTCTTGACCACATTATTTCTCTGTTTGGTAAATATGCTCCTCAATATGTCATGGTTTTGATAACGTCATCGTGTCTTGCACATCACTAATTGAGAGCCAATTGATGGCCGTTATATCTGGAAATCGTGCCCACGAACGGCAGATATGAACAACTCAACAATGATATTTTTGCATTGGCATTGATCACCGTATGGCCAACGGAATGGCAGGATTTAAATGGCCTTATTTTGGTGTCATTGTGGTGTCCGAGTGACCTGGGAATAGTCCCCTGAAATAGTCCGCCTATCTTTGCAAGCGTGTAGCTCAGAAACTGAAAGGGCATAGATGTTAAGACGCGCAGGGCTCTGAACTGCGCCGAATGATCTCCAAGATGGTTATTTCAGTTGAAAACTCTACACAAATGTGAATCACTTCCGTAAATGTCAGTAACATAAGCAACAGTTCACATCATTATAAGACAAAAGCGTAGTGTATACTATAAGCAGAAATTATGTGACTCTAACGAGATATGAAGCCCGCCAAAATGACAGATATATCCTCTTGAGCTATACAAATTGGATCAATGCCAGTACAAGAGTTCATCTTCCCGTTCAGTTGTGGGTGCTAGTTGAAGGTTGTCAGTGGCAAAGCCAGCTCACATCTGCCAAAAATACGCATGATTTTTTAACGTCTTGACACTATTGAGCCTATCCGTCACATTTTCACCTCAACACCCCATTTGTACTTGCACTACACATTCTGTGCACTTTGCAGGTACGAAGTGCCCACTATAAAGGTGAGTGCCACTGGTGCCGATTTGCATTCTTTTGTGTGGGCCCCGCTGCCCATGTTAAAATGCCCGCCCCCAATGTTGGTCTGGCCCCCTCCCAATATTTTGGGCTGGAATTTTGCAAAAACCTAGAAAATAGTCGACTGTCGCGCAAAGACGATCTTCTTTGATCTGTCCACATAGAAGGGTCGTCATGGAGAGTGCAGCTGAGTGACTTGAAGCCGCAACCTCAATATTATGTGCTCAGTGGAAGAATAACCTTAGACATTAGGGTAAACCACTTAACAATCCGACTCTTTGTCAGTCAAAGCTAAGCTCAGACGCTTTTCCGCAACTAAGCATGATATTCACACTACTGGTTTTTTGCTATAAGATGTCATAAGACACCACAACTGGTTAACTTTCACCTAACTTTTTTTGTTTTGTTTTTTTGGCTTGGCATGGATAGCTTAGATCATGGGTTCCGTTTAGTTACAAATGAGAAACCATACAGGAACAAAAAAATTCCGGAGACAGATTTTCGATCTGATTCGGTTCTGACATGGCTCATTACCAGC